TGCATCTATGCTAAAAGCATTGAGTCCAAAAATAAAGTGCTTGTAAATATACAAAAGTGAAGACTGATTTTATGTAATTTCAATGATTTTATTTCCATACTTTGGAAGTGCAATTATAATTTAATACAATATTTAATAATACTTTGTACTATAATACTTAAACGTTATATATGTACTAATTATATTCGAATAGATTACGTAGCCCTTTTAGTAAATTGTTTTTACTGAAAACTCGAAAACAAGCAAGAAAAACTTTTATTATTGTAATAACTGAAGATTACTTTTTAAAGATTAAATAAAAAACCACAAAAAAATGCAAGTTTTTAGTAGCTGTCGTAGTTAGTGATTTGGGCAAAATTAGTTTGTCATACTTATTAACAAAAGATTACAATTTTTGAAGTAACAGCGAAAATATTTCTTCAGGTGTAATTAGTTTTTAACTATTTTGGAATTCCTAACAAATAGTGTATTTGATTTATAATGTATTTGGAAATTTCACTTTAACTTTTCCCAAAGTATGCAATATCTTACATATGCAATTTGCAAAACCAACTATAATATTACACCAGCTTTGCACAATCATAAACCCACAAAAAAATTTTTGTGTGAAGCAGTACTTCCATATGTGATGGAACAAAATGTCTATCTCCGATTTGGTTAGTCTATCCTAACTTTTTTGACAGATTATAAAAAAATAATTATTTACCTATCAATAAATATTTTCCACTTAAAAAGATTGTAAACTATTATAAAAATGAAATTTACGAAATGTATGGATAACCCATATTAAAAAATTACCTAATTCTACTGAATTGTAATTTAAAGTCACATTGTACTTATGAATTAAATAATAATAAATTATTTATAAGTTTATTTTAAGTATACTTACAATAAATTCCTATATTGAATTTATTGCACATATCGATGAGGTGTAATAAACTGAATTGTTATGAATTTATTTTTACAACATTGTTAAGAACATTTCACAATATTGTTATACAGATTAACAAAACTGAAGTCCAAATAATAAATAACAAGAGACATTTTTACGACTTTTTTTAGGTTACATACACTTTATAATCTAAAATAAAAAAATCGTTCTAACGGTCATTAATTATATAACTTAAATTAATGATTTTTTTATTTTTGTGGTGGGGATGAGGTGGAATGCTTTATGCACCATTAAACCGACCGTCGCTGGAATGGTGTGTACGACTTCTACTTTGTAGTATACGAACTAAAACACACCCACTTCGCAATACTTCTGAGAGGATCCTTTATAAGTTGGCCATCCATGCCATATGCTTTTCGCAAAACCTGCGTGCAGGCTCACACTCTTCATCCAAATTGGAAAATCATCAGACTGCTCTTCGTTTTAGATTAGTTTGCACCCAGGTCTTTCTTCTTTTTCCTTAGCACATGAAATGAAATGGTTTTGTTCCAATTTTCTGCTCGTTCTATCATTTTTTCAACGATATACACAACCATGAAGTGACGGTTGATGCCATCTTTCGCAGTTGATAAAAGTATACTCAGCATTGTCCTTAACTAAGCCGCAGTATATACAGTTGGGCTGCTCTGCTTTTTGCATTCTGTATAGATATTTTCGAAACTATCCATGACCAGGTAGGAACTATGTGACATAATTGTCAATCTCGCCGAAATTCCATTCCGTCCATGACTTTATATTCGGAATTAACATTGTCGTCCATCTTCCTCTTAAATCAAAGTTTTCTGGAAAGTTTGTTTTCTTATATTTTGAAGACCTGTTGAGTTGTTTGTCGATCGCTGTTCCTAGCGTTTTCTCCGTTCATGTGCCTGGATATCGATAGGGATGGTTCGACTAATCACCAGAACTGCTGGCTCGGATACAGTTTAATAAGCAGAAGCTACCCGAAGTGCTGCAGTCCAATAGGTCGATAGGTCAACTTAAAGTCTAGTTTCAAATATGCAAATAGGCAGAATAGATCCTTGTGCTACACCTGAATTGATACATTTTTGTCTTTCTCCTTCGGGAGTGTTATAGACAAGTTAAATTAGTTGTAAAAAATAATACTTTTAAAAAATAAAATATGGCAGTACAATAAATGTAATAATAATTTAGTATACTAACATATAACTGTTGTTGTAAACGCTTGTTCTAAAAACAACACAGCAAGTGCATATGTTGATGAAGCAATAACAACAGTTTGACGAAATTCCAAGTTTGACTAACACAAACCAAGATACGGTATTGGTTTGGGTGACTAGCTCGTAAGACTGCATTTCAAATTAGACAGGGTTCAAGTTCAACCCTTAGTATTTGCATTCTAAACAATTATATACAAATAAGTAAATCTAAATTTTTTAATGAAAACTTTTATAGTGAAAATTTTTTAGTAAAAAATAGATACTTTCGTCATAACTGAAGTTAAAAACCGCAAAAAAAAAAATTTGTGAAAATTATTTACTACTCAAAAACTATTTGCAATTAATTAAATATAAGAAATTATTCTAAGATCACAAAAGATAGGTATGTTATTTGTCAATATTCAAAACAGCTGTATGGTCAGTCAGAAACTCAATTAATTAATAAATAATAAAAAATTTATTTTAATAATTTACTGCTGTTCAAAATACATCTGTATTGAAAACAATAGTTCATATTAAGAATTTAGTTTTTTTTTGTCAACACGGACATTAAAAATTTAATTTAATAGAAAATTATTTATTGAGAATTTTTTAGTCAAAATTATTTAATAAAAATATTTTAACAACTATTTTTGTCAAAACGGACGTTAAAAATCAATTTAATAGAAAATTATTATTAAATATTTTTAGTTAAAATTTTTTAGTAATAAATATTTCAAAGTTTTAATTAGATTTGCCGAAAAAGCTACGCTTTCTTATAATGACAAAGAAGTTTTTTTTTTAAAAGTTAAACGGATTTGAATAACAAAGAAAAGAGTAGAACAAAAAATTTAGTTAATTTATTAAAATTTGGCTGACCATCCAACGCAGCCCTCTAAATAAATATTTTGGTGAAAATGTTTTCTATATAACAAAATTGATTAAGGATGTATTATTAGCAAGAGAGACTTATGACTGCAGCTAGCGACTCTGTACAAATCGCCTTTCAAATCAACACCTCAAAGACTAAACCCATGCGCCTGAACTCACGTGACAACAATCAGTTTAAAATATACGGGAAGACCATAGAAGACGTTGAAGGATTTAAGTATCTTGGAAGCACACTAAAAACTGAAGGCGGAACAGATGCAGATATAAAGAAAAGAATAGTGAAGGCTACTGGTACCTTCTCCGGTCTTTCTCGGATATGGTCAAAAAAACACCAAAAAACGAGAAACGAAAATACAAATACTTAATTCCTGCGTCAAATCTGTGCTAATTTACGGCAGCGGTACATGGTACTTAAAACAAGAGGCGATTCGTAAATTACAAACATTTATAAATAGATGTTTATGACGTATAGTCCGTATTTGGTAGCCCCGTACGATAACTAATGCTCATTTGTGGTAAATATCGAAACAAATTCTTATTGAGAAAGAAATAGTGCGTAGGAAATACAAGTGAATTGTGCATACCCTTTGGAAGGACGCAAACGAAATAGTACATGTAACCCTACAATGGAACTCTCAAGGTGCAAGAAAAAGCGGACGCCCCAAAGTAATATGGCGTAGAAACGTTAATATGGAAACGAATAAAACATTTAGGCTGTGTGACAGTTCGAGTAAATTGAGGTAAAGTAAATTGAAATTTCTTAGGGATTTCATGAACTGCACTTATTTACAATTATTTATTATTTTTCTGTTAAAAGTTTTTAAATTTATTTATTTATTTATTAAACATCTTATAAAATTTTTACAATGGAAATATCTAATTTACGTAATTTACCTAATTTCCCCTACTCGAAATTCTGGTAAATACCAACATTCGCTGCCGTACCGACATAATTTACTATTTCCCTCAATTTACTACCAATTTACTCGAACTTGCACATGGCCTTAATGAGTTAAGACATATAATTAGAAATTAAGATTTGTGGAAATCCTATGTAAATAGATTAAGTTCTTTATTTATTCCTTTGTCAATAATAATATAATTATTAGCGACTCCGAAAAATTCATAGAGAGAAAATGTATTCTTCGGAGTTGATAATCATTAACACAATTGTACCATAGACAATACTGAACTGGATACTTAGTTGTAGAATTTTATTCAATTCAATCAATTATTTCAATTTCCAAGTTTTGAAATTTATTTCATTTAATTCAAGCAATTATTGCAATTTCCAAATATGTTTGGAAATTTATTTGGAAATCAAAATAAATTGTAATAATTGCAAAATTCTAATAAATTACTTTTTAATATGAAAATTCTAATAAATTACTTTTTAATATGACAATTCTAATAAATTGAAAGAAATTTGTAAAACGTAAAAAAAATAATTTATTCAGGAATTTAAATTTGCAAGTTTTTATATATTTTTATATATGTATAAGTAAATAATTAGAACAGCAAATAAAGTCTAGAAAAATTCACCTTGACATTTATTCAAACTTACTCACATGTTAAACTATTTACATTATTATTTTGTTTTACAAATATGCCAAGATATTTCTTTCGATACTCGTACTATGAAGCAAGCAGGCATGCCTGACTGTCTGCCAGCTATTAAAACAAAATTTTTCCACACTCCACACAAACTTTCACAAGAAACATGCACATTTTCATATTTTCTTTGCTTTTTATTTTACACTTATAACAGCAATTAAATATCAACTGAGAAAAACAAAAAGAAAAACAAAAAAAAATCAAACACAAAACATAAAATTATGCTTAGTGCCCTACATTTTTCCATATAGAACTGATTAATTTGCGCATGTGAATGCGGAGAAATTCTTAGGCATTTGCTTCTTCCCTCACAGCCCTAATGAAAAACTCAAGCTGTTATATACCATACATACATGCAGGTCAAATACTTATGATAAGGAACTAACCTGTTTGTTTTTGTTTGTGCAGTTGCTGTAGCTGTAGCTGTAGCTTTTAGAATATCAAAAGTTATTAATGTTGCTTCTTCTTCTCTACTACAACAACTTTTCTTTTTACGGTAATTATTTTCTTGACTGCACTTTGTGGTTCCTGCTCTTACAGCGAATTGTTCTTGCTGTGAGTTGTTGTTATTGTTATTGGTAAGAATTTGTTCTTACTTCACTTTGCTTGCGGTGCGTTTATTTTTATATATACATAGATACATATATAAACTTTCAAACAACGATGCGTGTTCGATTGTTGTTGTTGTTTTTGTATGCAACAGTTTTGCGCAGAAATATAAAAAATTGATAATCAATCACACAACACACAAAATGCAATAAAATAAGGGCTCGCAGGAGAAATGTAAATTTATTATTACAAAAAAAAAATTCAAATTGCACTTATTTTTGCTTTTTTACATTTTTTTAACAGAGAAATTTTAAAAACAATAACACACTGTATACCATTACATATTTTCCTTATTGTTAAGGAGCAAAACAATAATAACACTTATCACAATTTTTATTTTGTTATTTGAATATAATGCTTTACAAATATTTTTGTTTTTGTAGGAAGAATAATTAAATTTTATTTTATACTTCAAATTTTATTATTTCCTTAAACAAAAAAAAATTAAACATCTCTTTCCTTTTGAAATTTCCTCTTGTTTTGTTATTGTTGTAGCACTTTTTCGAAATATATATTTTTTTTTATTCAACACAAATGCATTTTCATTTGCATTTAATTAAAAATTTCGTTTTAATTTTAAATTATATTGAACTTATTTTCTACGCATGGTGTATACTTAAATTTTTAATTTTTCCCCGATTTATTCGATTTTTTTTTTGTTTTTTATTACAAAACTATTTCTTTCGCTTGAACCATGCTAACACGCCAATTGCCGCTGAGAAACTGAAATATATTGCTGCTGTTTCTCTTATAATATTCAGAGTCTCGCACAGCACAAGAGCCACCAAGCATTGACTTCACTTTGTTTATAAAAATACATAAACAAAAATCAGAAAACAAAAATTAAACAAAACGGTTTTAGTTCTGTTTACGTTGTGGTGGATCGTTCTGTTCTGTATGCTACGTTTTTTTCTGATGCGTTCTTTAAAATTTACTGTTTACGTGCAGCGCTTGTGTTGTTAATATGCAACTGCTGTTATTAGTACGGCATTCGGTGAATTCGGAGTGCATTACAGTGTTGTTTATTTACTTATTATTCAAATATTTTTATTTAATATTTCTTTATATACAATATTAAAATTTTGAATTATTAAGGGTTTTTTTTTGAGGTTTGTATTAATTGAAAATGGTAATCAATTGTTTCTGTCTTTTAATTTTTGAACAAAAAAAAAACCCACGGCAGCTGTCAAATAAAAAAGAACATAAGAAAGCAACTTGCATAACCAGAAACCTGAACACTGCTTAACCCCACACACACATTAGTTTTAATCAACATATTTTTTTTATTCAGGATATTTTCAATCGGAAATAAACAGTAAAATAATAATATTGAAAAGTTTCTTTAAACGTTAGAATTTAAAAATCCATAATGTAAACATAATTGTGCACAATGCATTACAAAATTACACATTACATACAAAAAAACGCAGAAGAATGCTGTACACAGAAGCAGCACTGAGAGTTTTCGAGAGAAAAGTTTTTCGTAAGATCCGTGGCCTTTACGAGTTGGCGACGACTGTCGTATCTGAATTAACCACAAGCTGTACGAACTTTTGGTTTAGTCATGTCATAAATGAAGAATGGCTGAGAAATGGATGAGGACGCTCCAGTGAAAGAGACGACTTTGATATAATTCAACGAATTAACATTCAACAAATTCGCTATTTGCTCATGTCATGGATGAAGAATAAATGAAGACGCTCCAGTGAAAGAGACATGAAACAGATGACTTGAATATAATTTAACGAATTAACATTTAGAAGATTCGTTGGTTTGATCATATCATGGATGTAGACTGGATGAAGACGCTCCAGTGAAAGAGACATTTAAAGAGACGACTTTGATATATTTCAACGAATTAAAATTCTGCAGATTCGCTAGTTTGCTCATGTCATGGATGAAGAATGGATGAAGATGATCCAGTGAAGAGACATTTAAAGCTGTAGTTGAAAGAAAAAGGCATAGAGATTGACCGTATCTCTGGTGAAGTGAACAAGTTGATTAAACTCCAACCAAATGTATAAAAGTAAAAAAGACACACACGCAGTATAAAAAACGATCTTTATTTAAAATCACTCATTTCATATCACATACAGAACGAAAAATTCATTATTTTCATTGCATTAAAATAGGCTAAATCTTATTTCCATTCCTTTCCTTTCCCTTTTTATATTTTAGAGACTTTTGGTACACCAGCACTCTTCTTATAATGCAAGATTAAATAACGTAACAATTGATTTGTGTTACTTATATATATGCATTAAATATATATTTAAATATAAATTAAATATTATATATTTGTTATACATTTTAGGGGAGCACATTATTCTTTTGGCCCCTGACTATATAAATGAGAGGACATAGTCTTCATACGCATATATATACATTTATGTCCTATAAAATACTTTTAAGTTAAATATTAACAACATTTATAATGCATAATTTTTAATGCTAATAGAATTCTTTGAGTAACAATCGTATTTAAAGCAATGCGATAATATTCTACTATATAGAATAATAATTAATTGCAAAATCGTATACTAAGAGTAAAGGAATTAAATTATTCTTTGAAAATATTCTAATTACTAAATGAACTTGCCTGCGTATTTGCTTCACTTAAAGAATTATATTGTGAATCAATAATTATCTTTTAAAATCTTAATCTTGAACCACACCCAATAGGATTACTGTACTGTTTCGCAATATGCACTCAAAGGGATTAAATTAATATGCACAAACTTATAACAGATAGGCAAGACAACGTTGTTACGTATTATTTCAATTTATTTTTTATCTGCATATTTAATTAACACTAACTAATATTTAATTAACATTAAGTTGTTCTAATAGAACTATGCGGCTTAACACAAATTTATTGAACAGTTTGCTTATGACTTTTGGTAGGATGTTTTCCCCTCTAGTCATTAGTTGCCTGCTTTAAAATTTTAACAATAATATGTTCTTTTCGGTGAACAGATATTCTTTTAGTATTTTAGACTGCTATATATAAATAATATATCACAATAACTGTTCTATACTTGTCGAGTGTAGGTAAGTGTAGAACAGTTACTAGCCTCTTTAATTGAAGTTTCACTTGGCTTTGACGGTCTTATATTTCTCAGTAGCCATTTTAGTGAAGTTGATAAAGGAATAACACTATTAAAAGTTTTATTACCACTAATGAAGCCACACTTGTTCTGTTCTCCATAAGTTCCCCCTTTCATCTTCGATGGGAACATTATTGAAGATACTAACCTCTTTTATTGAAGTTTCACTTGACTGTTCCGAGCTTTTATTTCTCAGTAGCCATTTAAGTGAAGTTGATGAAGGAATAACACTGTTAAAAGTTTTATTACCAGTAATGAAGCCACACTTGTTTTGTTCTCCGTAAGTTTCCCCTGTCATCTTCGATGGGAACATTACTCAAGAATTTATCGTGAAAAATACTCTGATAAACTTTACATTATTATTTTATACTATCTGCATATTTAGCAGAAGATGTATAATTTAGCGGTATATATAATTTAATACTTCTTTAACAAATATTCATAATGTCAAACACATAAGTAACATAAATAATAATATAATATAAGCTTTATATAAATAATTATGAAATAGAAATAAGTTAATATTTTACATAGAAACAACTTTACTGTCTACATATATATTTGACTGTATGCTGATGATATCGTCTTTAGAACTTGTTACTTGTCTCTTATAAATGCTTACCACCAAAATTTATAGTATTATATAGAAATAATTCCAATGTTTACATATTTTCAAGTGTGTATCGATGATATAGTTCTTAGAATTTGTAACCTGTCTCTTATAGGTATTTGCCTCCTAAGTGAAGTGAAGAATGACATAATATTGCTTAATTGCATTGCAATTCTAATACGCGAATCAAAAACTTTATTTCAATAATGTCTAAAAATGTTAGTAATAATATATTCCATTTGATCTAATAACATGTATGTACCTAAATATGTGCCCTACAGTCTTATATATCATTCCATAGTGAATGCAAATGATAATCTATTCCCCTTGAAGGGTACAATGGGTTTGAACTATGTTCTTTTAATCTCTATATGTTATTATTCTATATACAAATGCTTATTAATTATTATTACATTTAAAAAAAAAAATCTTTAATTTCTGTAATTGATTAATAAAAATCAAAATCACTAATTCAGTATTCTCTGTTAGGTACAATTATATGAGATTAGATCACATTGTATAAACAAGATATATTACACAGATTGTAATATTTTTTAGAAATGTTTTGAATAATATATATTGTTTTTTATTGTATGTGTACGAGTATAGAAATAAACGCTATATATCATTATAGAGTTCACACCGCACTTTTGACTTAAAGGAATTTTATGAATGTTTTAAACACAATTGTTCATATATGGTATATTATTTTTAATAGTATAAAACTAAAAATATAATAGTTATATTATTAAATGGGAAAATTGCTAGAAGACTAAAAGAAGACTAAAACTTTTTCACCCAAGCGATACTAAAATAGATTTTACAAATGCAGAAAGTTTTTGATGAGGCTTTCATATATATAATGTAATAGAATAAAAATAAATATAATTATAAATATAATAACACCATATAACATCTAATATTAACATCATCTAATATTAAGGAAAATCTGTATCCTACTATAGTATTCCAGTCAACACTAACTAATAAAGACTATTTATAAAGACTTTAAAGGTTAGAACTATTTTTTAATACCTGACGGATTCAAAGGTATGACAAATATTTAGAAGTCATTCAATAGTCATTCAAATGTTTACAAAAAATTGTTATTCTAATAATAAAAATAAGTCTTACCTAATGTTGCTTACTGTGCATGTGTAAATAGTGTGCAAAATATTCCATTCACTTTCAACTCCTACCATGTCAATATTTAACGAGATCTGCACTAAAGTTTGTTTGCTAGAACTAAATAAAGAAAGTGATTTTGATTGCACTTTGTGATCTTGTATGCAACTATTTTATCAAACACACAGTTAATATTATTTCACAGGCCGAAAATGCCTATATTAAATTTATTTGCTAT